ATAATCAATTAGAAATACACATTTCCAACTTGGGTTTCTTCCCCTCCCCTTTGCTTCTATGCAAATGCACTCGGGCTAAAACACTCTGACGGATTTTCTGCTGCTCATCTCAAACAGCAACTTCTGCCCTGGCAAAGCACGTGCACGATGCCAACACTCACACCAGGAGCATTTCCCACAGGCATTCCGGGGCCAGGAGGGAAGAGAGCACCGGTGATGCCTCCCAAAACCACAGCTAAGCTCTCCTACCTCATTAGCAGCTGTCCAGAATTCCATCCCCGTAACATGTCTCTCTCTGATGATGGCAAACAACAGCGAAGATGAAGTGGAAACCTCTTCTCCCAGCCAGGAGCCTGGCATGGCTGTCCCAGGCAGGACAATTAGCACTTTGCATCTTCTCAGCATCATCCAAAACTTGGGTTAGGAGTTTGCCAAACCCTGCAACATCTGTTTTGGTTTATTGTTTCACATAACACCATCTCAGAACAGCATCACTTTGCCTTCCCTGCTTTTCACTGTTCCTGCTAAATTCTCTCCTCCCTGAGAGGGAGGATCCTCCTCCACAGCCACATGTGGGCAAATGGAGCCAGGTGGGATTTTGCCCATCTGAGGATGTCACAGAGCTGTGCTGGTCCCTGCAGGGCTGGAGCCTGACCCAGCCCAGCAGCTCTGCCCCAGGTGTGGCAGCCTGAAGCTCCACGGACACCTGAGCAGCAGCTTTTAGGCTGCACCCAAGGTCCAATCTTATTAGTGAGGAGGGATTTGAACTTCATCAGTGGCTCAGACCAGAAGTGATTTATTACAGCAGCTCTCCCTGGGCTGTCAGTGGTGCAGTGAGGGGTGGTGGGCCTGTCTCCTTTCAGCTACAAGTGTTTGATTCCTGCAGGTGACATCTGCAGGGAATCTTTTCCCTGGTCTTTTCCCTTCCAACAGAAGTCACTTTGAAGGAATTCAGGTTGTTATACAATAAAAGGCCTGGTCCTGTCAGCTCAGGCCATGAACTGGTAGGAAACCTCAGGTTTGCCTCCCCTCCCACTCCCTCAAACTTGCTCCACATGGAATTACTCAGACAGCAAATCCACCTGAGGGCAGCCACCCCTTGAGCCCATGTGTGGCTCTAATCTGGCATCAGACAAGGGTTGTGGACCAACTCTATCTGTACATCAGGCTGTGAGAAGCATTTTGGGCACAGGAAGGGAAGGTCTGCACCAGGAATTGTTGTGTTTGCCTGAGGAAGAAGAGCGAGCAGGTAAATGCAAGGAGCTGGTGATGGGGGGGCTGGAGTTGCTGTGACTTGTGTGGGAGGTGACAGATGCTCCCTGCCAGCTGCCTCAGCACTTGCTATTTTTTGTCATTTCGTGGGCAGCACGGCCGGGGGGAGGCTTGGGGAGACGCTGGAGCACAACAGGGATGTGCAGCAGCCCTGGCACAACCCCACGGTGCAACTTCCAGAAGTTGGGAACCACTTGCCAGAGAGACTTTTGAAATTTCAATTTTTCATGAGAGGGTGTTTGTGGGGTGTTTCACACTGGATGGCAAAACTGGCATCAGCAGCCTGGATTTGGGATCCACAACTGTGGCAACCACGGCTCCTGTTCAGGTGGGATGCAACCTTAGGATGGACTGCTGTGGCAGGAGTCAGCACAACCTCTGCTCCTTATCCCAGCAGCAACATTATTATCTTAGTTTTCAAACAGTGAAATCAGAAAAAAAAGGGAAAACTCACGGCACCAAAGAACACCAGCCACTCTCCGGGAAGGGCTTTCACATCCCGCTTGCACCATGACTAAATTAAAGGAATTAACTCCGTGGGCTGTTGGAGCTGAAGCTCCATTTGCTGTTTCCCCTGCACATCCCTCTGCCTGGAGCCTCTGCTTGGGAGGAAGCGCAAGGAGAGGTGCAACATTATTTTTATCTCAGCACCCACACGCTGTGAAAAGCCTAAAAAACCCAGTGCGGAGCCTTTCGCAGCCTCCCCGAGCAGCTCTGACTCACAGAACCACAAAGGCACACGTGTGGACGGAAGTTACCCACTTTAGTGAAGAGAAAATACCCTCTGGAATCGTGTGGGTCTAAACTGAGCTAATAAAAGATGAGGATGTGCCAGTCCAGGTGCAGCCTTTAGTCCTTGTGGTGTTCCGTGGGCGCCACATCCCCAGCCGGGCTGGGAATCTGAGCATTCCCACTCTGGAGGGAAGGAGGTCTGAGAGGGCATGAAGTGCCCACATCCCAGCCCTTCAACAGGACAAGCTGGAAGAGATGCTGGCAGCACATTTGCTCTCACAACTAGTGTTTTCTGTCATCTCCAAAAGGAGTGAAGGTTCCACCACCACTCCCCCTGGCAGCTTTCTCTGGGACTGGACCTGGTCTGTGGGACTGGACCCATCCAGGTTCCCCAGAGAAGCCCCACTGGAGCCTCCCAGGCTGGCTGGAAAGCAGGTGCTCACAGGATGAGGGCTGGCTCTGGCCACAGCAATCTGATTTCAGAGATCATGTTTGGGAAAGCAGTTTAGATGGCATTAATTATTAAAGCCTCATAAGGCTTCTATTAAGGGTAATAGTTTTAAATGTGATTTATATAGCCCTGAAATTCATTACCAATCTTTTAATGATGTTAGTGTCAATCAGGCATGAAAATGCTAAATGACTTATCCCAAAATGACCAGGAACTGATCTGAGGAGTTTTGGGATGCTCTCACCGCTGGCCTTTCCCTCCTTCTGCCCTTGCACTCCTTGCTGGTTGCTTTTATAACTCCTTCTGATGGATTTTTTCCTAAAATCACACCTAATCAGTGTCCCAGACATGGTTACACTTGTAGGAGAAGCAAATGAATCCTGTTAAAAGAGTGTTTCTGGAGGTGTTGCTGAAAATGTTGAAGCTTTAATGAGGTTTTATATAAATTGTTGCAGAGTGTTTTATATGGGTTAGCAAGTCTCCCTGTTACAGGCATTAAGTTTTAGTAAGTGTTCTGAACAGAGGAGCGAGGTAAGAGGTGATGGATCAGGTCCTCAAACAGGAAAAATAGGAAAGATAGCACAGATGTGGAGCAAACACTCTCTCACACTCACACACGCAGGAAATTCATTCCCAGCATGTGAAGAGATGGGTGATTTTTGCCAGCCTTGATGGGCAAGAATAAGATCTAAAATACTTCTAAGCAAACTTTCCACTGTGGGGTTGTTGCTTTTTCCGCACCCAGGTATTGTGCATTAAATTGGTTTTGGAATTTTTCCTCTCCTTCATCAGTCTGTGCAACATCTCCTGGGGTAGGATGTCAGGCACTGACTCAGGGACCAGTAATGAGCACTAGAAGTGGCAGCTGGTGCCTGACACTGTCACCCTGGCAGCAAATGCGACAAGTCCCCTGAGAAGGAGACAGTACTGACTCATTTCCCATGAGATCTGCCTCATTCCATGCTCCTTCTTTAGGAAAAGCAGGGAAAAAAAAGGCAGAAAATAAATTTTAGCAGGTAACTCTGTGGGTCCAGCCCTGCCACTGACTGTTCTCCCAGAGAGATCCCCATGTCTTTGGGTGTAGCATCACTTTGGGAAGGTGACAAGTGACAGATGCAGTTGGGGAAAACATCCTTTTGAGGACAACCCATCCACCCTTGGCAACAGCTGCCCTGATTTGGGCCCCTGATTGATTTTCCTTTGCTTTACCATGGCTCCCCAGGGAGCAGGTGGGATTATAATTACCTTGTGGTAATTAATGCAGTCATCATTTTATAGCTACCCGAGCATTTCTCACAGGAGATGGTTTTATTTGCAGCTCACGCACTGGCTCTGTAAAAGTATTCTGAGATTTCTCAGTCAAATACCCAAAGCTCTAAAGAGAATTTGGGGCTGGGGGAGGCAGCCACAGGTACTTGCTGTGATTTATTGCGTGCTGGATGCTGGAAACATTCCTGGTGGAGATACTCTCATGTATGGGATGCGACAGGCACAGAGAGATTCAGCCTCTCCTGCAGCCTTTAACTCTTAATTTTTTCCCAAGCACCCCCAGCCTAATCTTGCCTAGTTAGAAATAAAAATGCACAGTTGTACACACTGTCCCCTTCCTCCCCACCCAGTCAGAGTGTTGAGCCTCACACTTGAGCAGCCAAGTCCCCACGCAGCCTCTCACCGCCCCGCTGTTCCCGCTGACTCATCCCGGTGGGAGCTGGGTGACTCTCCCTTCCCATGGGACCACCACCGTGGGAGGGTGCAGACCATGGCCATGGGGTGGCCAGGGGCTCTCCCAACTCTGTGGGTCCATCTCCACCCACCCACGCTCTGCCAGGCTTGGCTTTCCCCAAGGATAAGTCTGGAGCGTGTTTAGAGATTCACTCCTAACGAGCTCTCACCCAAAAGCCACCATCCCAATCCTGCTGGAGGCCCAGCCACAACTTGGGATGAATCCCAACCAGCCAAGGTGACAGGGATGCAGATCTGGCAGCTTGGAGAGCTCAGGACCCCCTTCCTCTTGCCCTGGAGGCACAGACTCTCCGTGTGTCACCCCAAACTCCCCCTTCTGCTGTGCAGAAATATCCCAGCCCCTGAGGAGAGACGTGTTCGTGGGGCTCAGAAGCTGAGGAGCACAGACCTGCTGCCTCTGGAAAAACCCCAGGAATTTCAACCATTCCTTTGGGCAAACCCAGCCAGACTTCTGCAAATTAAACTAACCTAATTACTGAATTGGCATGAGATTCAACCCATGTGAGAGCAGGCAGAAGAAGGAGTTGCCTGTCAAGTTGTCACAATATTTGTACGTGGCTTTCAAAGTCTGAGAATAAAATGATGTCAGTCTAAACAAGGGAAGTGAGTGTGGGGTGAACGTGGCTGGTGGGACTGGGAAGTCGTGTCCTCTCCCCCAGGAGTGCCCAAATAGGTATTCCAGGACAAAGGTGGGTCCCTGAGCATCATTAATCACTGAAACAACCCCCCTTCCCCTCTGCAGCCTCCGTGGAGTCAACTTTGAAAGGGAATTCCATCAAAGGAGACCAAACTCTCACAAAAGTAATGATCAGTATTTTTATTCGTACACACTTGTTTGGAAACTACAATTAATATTTAACAAAAGCATTTCATGCAAACAAAGATTGAAGATATTGCGAATTAAGAAAAGAAAAAAAAAGATGCTGTAATTTGTACATCAGTCTTGCCCACTACACTTCCTATGGTATTTTTTTTTTAATCTTTTGAAAGATCAATGGCCTCTCCAAGTTTTCTGGTAGCATCTTGCAAATAAATGATATGAAAATAAATAATGTTCTCCTCTGTATAAATACAACATTAGGGTCTTAAAATAATATTAAAAATACGAATGATTTAAAGGCAGGATTACTCCTTGTTTAAAAAAAGGGAACATTAAAGTAGCATACAGTCATTTGAAAAGTTTCAGGTGTTCTCTGTATTGTGCAAAACCAAAGACTGTTGGGGAATGCACATTTTAAAAAGAGCCAACGAGCTTCATTTTGTTGAAATTAATTTTTTTACATTCATTTTGATAACATGGGAGAGAATAAACGAAAGGCCTGGTGGGGAACGAGCCATTGATTAAATTTGTTACCACTGCAACAAAACTTTTTTCTGCTCCAAGGCCAACAGCAATGGACACAAACATATAATATAATTCATATTTTTGGTGATTTTGGGCTCTTGGCCCCAGCCAAGCTCTGGAAGGACAGAGCCCTTGGCAGTGTTGCCTCATGGGGTTCAAATAGAAGGAAAGTAAATCCAAGTAATTCTTAGGGAAAAAGCTTATATAAATATCAGAAACATCATTTTCCTTTCTATTAAAATGTTCCTGTCAGTAATGATTATAAAATTAATGTAACATCAGCTGTGGACTGTCCAATGAGTCCTGAGTGAGAAATGAGCTCTAATGGCATCAGGCTGAGCATTATCAATGCTGTTGCTACTCATCCTGTTTAGAATCATTAATAGACTCTTAATTTATTTATTTAGGTCAACTGACATCAGTGGGAGAAAAAAAAAAACCAGCTTCTGGAGCAGTTTTCTTTTAAATTTGACCTACTGTGTCACAGACAAGGAAAAGAAAAACACAAAGACATAAATACAACACAGAAATACATTAAAATATCAACAGAAAGTATCAACCTGTGGTAGACGGACCAGGAGTCGTATAAACATTACTAGAAAACAGCTGTGCTGACCTTATTTATCCACAGGGAATCTCACCTTCCAATGATCAGTTCTGGTAAGACTTCCATTGACACGGAATTTTTAAATTGCACATAAAAATCTCAGTGACTGGAAGAGAGGTGAGTGCAGCTGACCCACACAGTCAGCATCACTCCCCCTCCACACCCTGACTCCAGGTACAAAAGCTGGACTCCAGATTCGGTAAGAAACGTTATCAGATCGGATTTTATTCCTCTCCAAACGGCTTCAGCAGAGTTACTAAAGTTCTATAAAAAAGTAGAAACAGCATGGTATAGCCAGCAGTACCATGTGAATCCAAGAAGCTGATTTTAATAGTAAAAATGATAATAATACTTACACAACTCTTTTCAGGTTACAAGTGTATTAGAAACATTGGCTAAGAAGTCCTCACACCTCCCTGTGAGGTAAGTAAGTATTATTACCCCCATTTTACAGCTGAGGTAACTGAGGCAGAGAGGTCCATAAGTGGCCTCTCCCCCTCAAGGTTTTCCTGGGACCAGGAGGGCTGTAGTGCATGGTGATTATTCATGATAAGGCTGTTTAATTACCAATTGTTACTGGCACAGTGAGGAAATCATGCACGTTTATGGAGTCGAGTCTTATTTAATCTTCAACTGAACTATTTCAGATCCCATCTATGAGTGCAGAGCTGAGGGGAAAAAGTGCTTTTTAGCTTGTCTGCTTATGGACTACTGGGCAGCTCAGTGCCTCCCCACAGGCAGCACAGAGGGGACACAGAGCCTGGAGCCCACACTCACGTCTGCAAAGAGACAAAAACCTATGTACAATAACTTATCCTAACGACTACAAGAACTGAAAATCACATTAAATATTTCCAGAAGTTCCCTGGCAGGTCCAAAAGCCCACTGTAAACTCAATACTGTAAATATGCTCTTTCTACGCATCTCAAAGCTTTATTATTGGATTGTTATTATTAATATTATTTCCAAGGATGTGTTTTCCTCAATAAGGAGGCTCTTCCCCCTCTGCTCCCTGCATGTGTCTCCTATGGCATTTTACTGGGATTGCATCCGGATGCACCGGCTGAGGAAAGACTTTGCAAGTGGTACCACTCAATCCTTGGACATGTCACCTTTCCAGCTGGAAGACAAGTTCCTCTCTCACTTGAGTTATTAATTTAATAGAAGCCCAGCACTATTCAATTGAATTCACCTCCAAAGACACGATGGACTTCAAAGGCCAACAGTGTTCAGATATAATGAGTTCCTGTTAAACTAACAGCTGATCTCCAGAAGAACTTTCTTCAGTTTGTAAAGGGAAATTCAATTGTACTTCTGGAAAGAATGAAGGATTAGAAAGCTAAATTGCATTTCTGCTCTAAACTGCATTAAGAAGGAGTATTTTATTATGGAGTGTGCTCTCTCCTTCTCAGGGATGTGCCATCCTTGTTGAGAACACCAAGACTGGCCAGTGGGTGAAGTGGTTATCCTGGAAACCCACCACCCTGCTCAAGTGGCTCAAAGGTGCACAAAACCACCCAGATGCCTGAATAATGCAGAAATTTGCCTAGGAGCCAGTTAAGTCCCATTTGATCCCTGAAAACCCCTCGGAAGTTTTACATGGCAGACCTGTGCCTCCCTCAGCAGGAATGGGGCTGCCCTAGAACCCCTTGGGACTCAAGCTGTGGGATGGAAACACAGCTCCCAAAACTTCTACCCAAGCTTCAGTGCAGTATAATTCTCAATTTTCCTTTTAGGAATCTTTGTGGCAACGTGGGTGTTGGGATTACAGTTGCTATCGAACACAAGTGAAAGAAAAGCAGCTCTAATGCCTCTCCCTCTGTTGATACATGTTCTCTAGAAACCCAAATCTTGTGAAAAATATTATATAAATAACATCTGTCTTTAAAAAGATATGAAAAGGCTTGCAGGATACTTAAGGTTTTCCTTGCCATTATAAATGTCTGGATTCTGAGCAGCCACTGGGAGTTCTCGGGACAGGGCCGGTCCGAGCGCGAGTGCTCACGTGTGAGGGCAGAGCAATGAGGGGTAACAAACACTCAGTCCCTGCTTTATCCAAGCCTGCCTTGCTCCTGCAGGATCCAGGAGTTCACAGGACCTTTTCCTAAGTGTTACAGACACCTACAGAAGACGGTGAGAGCTGTTGAAAACCCAGGGGCTTGAGGTAATGACGCTGAAGAGGAATTTCTGCTTCTACATCAGAAAAACTGGGGAAAAAATCCAAGTGCTGAAGAGACTGGTTATGGGAAGCAGCCAGAAAATGAGCAGCTCTGTCCCAGTGTTGGACCAGCTCTGTGTCCTGGTGTGAACAGCACTGACTGTCACAGCTGTACCGGGAACAACCGCCCGCAGTGGGACTTCCCTGGACAACTCATCAGGAAAACAGACCTGTGGGAACATGTGCCCATGGGATCTCCTGCCTGGTTTCTGACTTGGTTCAGCTCTGCCCCTGTTCTGCTTTTCTTACACCCCAAACCTGTGTGCTGGCATTTCTCCCAGTATTTTCCTTTTTCAAAAGTGTCTTTTCCACATTCTTAAAACACTCACAATGATGCCTCATGGCAGACTGACTTAGCTGAGAGCCCCTTCTTCATTCAAATCTGAGACACTCAGTAACCTGTTATCTTAATTTAATCTATTATAATCTACAGCATGATACTCTGATTTTCCTAAACTACATCAGGCTCATAATATTCAGTAAAAAAAATAAAAAATCATGAATGCTGCACTAGGCCACATGCTTTGTGGTGAATACCATCCTTTCTGAACTATATAATACACAAAGAAGAAAATGAACTCCCAGTCTTGGCTGTGAGAACGTTTGACACAGAATGGCTTAAAAACTTTGCTCCTGAAATGAGTGAAAAATTTGGAGTCCTGTTTATTTAGGCAACAATCTGAGTTCCTGACAGTTGGCCAACACCCCTCACGAGCCGTGTGTTTTCCCACAGCTTGGGATGTCACCAAAGCCTGATCGCTCCGAGATTCTCCTGGTTAGAGCTGGGGCTGCAAAAGGACTACGACTGGGCAGCAGCTGGACTTCTGGAGTGCTGGAAATCGCCCATCCCAGCACCAGAAACAGCTTCTGAAGGCCCCAGGGGTCCCCAGACAACCCACAGGTGCCGTTCACATCCAACTGTGTTTCCCTCCACAACTGTCCCCCTCTCCACAGGTCACCCCTGCAGGGCCAACCCCCCCCCCCTTGGTGCCACTTGGCAGGACTGGATCTTTCTGACAGAATCTTTGGCACAGGTTCCATGTTTTATTGTCACAAAAGATGGATTAGAAAGTAGATTCCCCCTCCCACCCTCCCCCATTACATATTCTAGTATAAATTTAAGTCTTTTATGGCAAATATCTTACTTTTTGAATATGTTTACATGCTGGAAAAATCGTAACCAGTCTGCATGCAGCAACAGAGACATCATGCTTCTGGCATCATCATGCACATCTGACAGACAAAAAGTGCCTATGGCTGCTAAGGGGAACAAGGCAGAAGGGAAAAAAAATAAGGGGAATGCACCAAATACTATTTTACATGCTGTAACAAAACCAAAATATGCACAAAACGTATTTACTGATATTTGAATTAATATCTTCTGGTAAAGTTGTAAGAGGAAATATCAAAATTTTTTCTCTAAGTGATAGGAGAGGAGAAGATTGCATTAATTACAGTGTTCATCATTGCAAATAAAGTCTATTTCCTTCTCTGCAAGTAATAAGCAGATGTGAAATGAAAGCCTAATTGAACCTCGTATAAAACCTGCAGGTAGCAATTATCATTTAAAAGTATATCTACTTTTAAAAAAAGAGATTATACCCTAAGCCAGTAACAATATCCAAAACCTAAAGTAAAAATCAAAACAATAGCAAGAAAACATTTAGCTAAATCTAAATGTGTCATTCAGAACAAGAACTTTCACAAATAAAGCACGAGTTGTTTTATAAAAGTTTTATAATACTCTTTATGCTTGATATGATTATGTCAATAATATAGATCTGCTTATTATTAACCCTTATTATTAAGAGTTATTACTAAACATGCAAAATTCATTGCATGAAGCATATGTAAAAGGTATTAAATTCCATTCTATCAATAAAACAAGTTTTAGGTGCTGCTTCTTTCAGGCTTGATTATTCTACAGCCCAAAGTTTTCTGAATTAAAACTGATTATTTTAAGACTTAACTCTCACTTGATTTTCATGAGTTATTCTGAAGAAATCAGGAAGTCACTCGGGGCTGCACTTTTTGTTAATTTAGTACACATAATCCTTTCAATTTACTGCCCTACACTGCAGACTATAAATAAACACATGTAAATAAGATTTAGGAGGAATTACAGTTTTGTTTTACATTCCAGGTTAATGAACTTCATAGTAAAATATTGGTATTAGAACCAGTTAACAGTAAACTCGAGGAGCGGTGTAAATGAAACCAACTGAACAAACAATGGCACCCTGGATCACAGAATAATCTCATGGAGATTAAAATTCACAAAAGTATTATTAAAATTATTACTATTATCATTATCATTATTATTATTATTAAAGACAAAATTTCACCCTTGAGTTTATCACATGCTACTTAGCACAAGTC